GTGACTACTGTGAATTTTATTTTTTGTATGTATCTTCACCTCTTAAAGTCATCATTATGAAATCATCCTAAGTACAGAGAAACATGCCCATTGCAAGTCTTTACCATAATTTTATAGCTATTGCTTGAAGTTGAAATTGTGTACAGGTTCAGTTCAGTAAGCTTGCTATTCTCTTCAGCTCATCATTCCTATGTATTGCTATTCCTGAATAGTTTTTCATCTTTGCTCAAATTCTGGAGCTATGCTATTCTGTTTCATCTCAGTATTAGAAAGTTGGCTGCAATTTAGAACATGATCACTGTTATATTTGACTTCTGTGTGATGGTACCTTGTGCATGATACCAGCTCTTGGTCTGCTGGTTAGGTTTGTGTATCAGCTGGGCTGACCACAGGCTACCCCTTTTACACACTATTTCTGAGAATGTCTTTGAGTGTTTGGGGATGAGATTAGATTCGAATTTCTGTACCTAGCAAAGTGGGTCTCCGTCCTCAGTGTGGATGCTGATCTTTTGGTAGCCTAAAAAAGTAATAGAAGAAGGAATAGTTAGCCCCTTTTGCCTTCCATTTGTCTGCTGGATTTGGGACACTGCATTTCACTTTCAGCTTCTCTAGTTTTTGGGCCTTCAAATTTGAGCTAACTGACACCAATGGCTTCCCTGAGCTGCCAGCTTTCAGACAGCACACCGTGGGACTTCTTAGTTTTCATAATTGAGCCTGTTGTACACAATAAATCTTTTTGTTCATATATAAAAAACTACTGGTAAAGCACAGTCCAAATTCCACAGCCTGTTATATGTATATATTTCCTACTTGCTCAGTTTCTCTAAAGTCTTTAATTACTATACTTTCATTTAAAGAGAAGTCACTAAGACTGGAAACAGAGGGGTTATTGGATTAACTCCATAGGTAACAGCAACACCAGTCATGGTTCAGTCATAGTCCAGTGGCATGAAGAGTGCAGGGTTTAAAAGCAGGGCATCTCAATGGGTGGAAAGAACATTGTGGGTATATGAGATGTGATATTTTGGCCTCTAGAGATGTCATATCCTAAAAGGAAAACCCCAACTCAAAGATTAGGATTTAAAAAAAATAGTGGTGGGAATAAATGACTCGGCATACAAGAGGGAAACCAAGAACTAGAGATGAAGCAGCAGCTCATGTATTTATTCTATATCATGTAGAAACTGTGACTTGTAAAATAATTAAAATAATTGGTAAAGAAGATCTCTTTGTTACAGAATTATACAAAATTAATGTAAAGCCAGACTCTGCCTGATAAAAGCCACATGGGCCTCTTCTGCCTCAAATCAGAAGCAACTGTAGCAGGGTGAGCAGACCAAGGGCGACCTACCGAGAGCCGCAGTGCAGGTGGCGAGCTGGGGCTGAAGACAGGCCAGAACACATGCGTGAGAATGAACCGAAGACCCAAACTATTGGTGATATCTACTGAGACCCACTCGTTGCCTTGATTTGGTAACTTCATTTTCTATGTAATTAAAACTTATAGCCCTTCTGTAGGGGGTTTCATGACAGTATAATCTGTTCTTGTTTAAGAAGCTCTTGGCAGTCTGTAGGGATTTTTTTTCCCCTATAATTCTTGTTCAGATTTATTCTTCAATTTTTTGAATTTATTGTCAGTTAACAAATTTTTGCCTCCATGTAGAAGAATGCCTGTGTTTTCCTCTTGTATGAATACTTGTTTGTGAACTCACATAGAAGAGAATCATATCAGTTCTGATTTATCAGATTTGAGCCTAGTTTGACATATTTAAAAACTAAATATTTATAAATTCTATTGATTCTTATCTATTTTTACATAATGTTTGATGTTATTCTAATTCACTGCTTCTTTCCTGTGGAAGATTAAGATAAGTAAAAAAAAAAAAATTCATGAACCAGGGATTGAACTCAGGCTCTTGCACTTGCCAGGCAAGTGCTTATTCTACTGCATTATCTCCCCAGCCCCTAATAAATAAAAAGTGAAAGGTACCTGAAATCATATTATTGGTTTTTAAATTTTGAGTAAACTTTTACTGATTTAGTTTTATACTGGTTCAAAAAAAAAATGAGCACAGTGCACTTAGATACTTTTGGGATAAATTTTATCACATAATGTGATTTTTAATTTGGATTTCTTATGTGCTATTAGCTTTCAACAATTCAGTTTTACCTTGAGATGTGCTCATGTGCATGTATACTTTCTTTACAGTATCAGACTCCTTGCTTAAGTCAAAACTTTACTGGTTCTTTTACTTAAATCCCTCAAGTTGGTGATTCAGAACTCAAAGAAATAAAAACCCAGATAGAGATTTTTTTTAGTTGTTAAACTGAGTTTTTATCTGCTTTTGCAATGCCATTCTTTGTTTCAACTTCCCCTCTCCAACTTTCTGCTATCTGTCTGTCTATCTATCTATCTATCTATCTATCTATCTATCTATCTATCTATCAAGACACAGTCTAGCTATGCTGCCCAGGTTGGTCTTCAACTTGTGAGCACCTGTGCATTCCAAGTACCTGGGGGTACAGGTGTAGACCACCACTTGTGGCTTAGTTTCCTATGGCTTTTAATTAATGAATTCACTTACTCAATCAGTCAGCCAATCAACAAATCCAACTCATTCTTCCATTTATCAAACCTTTGTTTCACATTCTGTTTTATGTGACAGTCTGCTGGGTAATGGGGAATCCACACACCCAATTCTTTCTCCCATTTTTTTCTCAGATTCTCTCTATCTAGCCTTGACTTTGGTCTTCAAATCCTATTAATTTTATCTCTTTCTTCCTGCTACATCTGTCCCTGCTGCCTTATTTCCATTCTAAGTTAGATGCCTAACTTTTATTATTGCAATAACTAAAACTGCTAGTTTATGAATCTTCTTCTGTGACTGACATTCAGTGCTTCAGTCATAGGAGCTCTCTGAAATGCAAATCAGATTTTGTCACAGCTACATATTAGTGTCTTTCACTCCCTCATGAAGTCTAGATTACTGACATTCCTTTAGGCCTTCGTTTCCTGATGGGTCACAGATAGGTCACTTGGCTCATCTCTTTGTACTTCCTCCCTGAATTTCTGTAGTACCTCGAATGTGCATTCTCTCATTTGTGGAAGTTCTGAAGCCCTTTTCCCTTCTGATTTTTCTCTCCCATATTCTTCATCTTCTACTTCTTTCCTTACTTTTTCTAGCTAATTCCAACTTGTACTTTGAATCTCACCTGGGATCTCACTAATTCTGGTAAACACGTCTGAGCTGTTCGCTTCCTTTATGTACTTTTAAAGTGGACAGATGTTTTGTGTGTGTGTGTGTGTGTGTGTGTGTGTGTGTGTGTGTGTATTTGTATTTTAGGGAAGGGTCTACAGGGTGTTCAGGGTCTCACTACTAGATTGTGGACTCATAGTGATCTGCCTGTTTACAGCCTTCCAAGAGCTGGGATTACAAGTGTGTGACACCACGCCCAGTCTCCGTGCCCTGAGGATGGGGCTGGCATGGCAGGCTTGGGGATGGAACCCTTAGCCCCTGAGCCTGCTTACAGGTGCTTTAATCTGCTGAGCTATTTGGCCGGCCCTACAGTGGACAGTTTTGAAACTGTTTATCTTTCACGAGCATCATGAAGGTGGGGAAAATGAGTTTTCACTCTGCATTTCTCTTGCCTAGCTTAGCATTTGTTACGTTGTAGGTGCCAGTTAAGTGAGTGGATGAATAAGTGAGTGAGTGAATGAGAAAACAACACATTAGTTATTAACAATATTTGTAAATTGTTTTAAAATTCCATGAGGATCTGTGTCTTCTATCCCACACTATGATGGATTGACAACTCAATGTCTGTAGGGGTCTGTTGGTCTCAGTCAGATTGATTCTACCTGGGGAGACATATGGCAGGAATGAGAAAGACAAGAAGACAAAAGCTGGGCTAGGTGGTCACCGGTCTGCCTCATAGGCAAGACTCACGCGCCAGCCCAGTGAAACCTACGTTTATTTATACTTTTGCAAAGTTAGTAACACATGACACAAGGTTGGCTAGTGACTAGTAGCCAACATTAACCAGTCAGGATGCTTATCTGAGGACTGAGGTAGCTTGTTTGCTTTAGGCACTGAGGCCTAGTCCTGCCTACACACCTTTGACTGATTTTCCAGTTTCCAGGACTCCCTACAAATGTCAACTTGTAACAGTCAGCTGAACTGAACCAGTGTGGTGCTGGGTGTGGAGGCCCACCTGCGGATTGGTGCCAGCAGCATAAGAGGCAGAACTGGAGAGATAGAAGAGTAGCAGTTGGAAGTATCAGGGAAGCTGTAGAGAGTTACTGATTTTCCTAGAGGAGCTTGTGATGTTGGCTTTCTTGATGAACTTGCCTGTTCTCATTGTCAAAGGATCTTGGGACCTTGTTGTTCCCAAGAATGGCTATGGTTTACTTTGGGGGAGCTCTTGTCCTCACTTTGAGCATTGCTTCCTGGCTCCAGGGGGGAAGTAGTACACTGCTGAGTCTCCCGGAGAAGCTTGTCTCATCAGCTTTCCTGATGGGAACTCAGCTTTCCTTATCAGTGCTGGAGGAGCTCGGGACCTCACTGTTGCTGAGGATTGCTGTCATGCTTTTGAGAGGGAGCGCTGGTGCTCACCTTGAGCATTGCTTCCTGGCTCCAGCTCAGGTAGCTCAGCCTGCTAGCACAGATCCTTCATCCTGCTGGCACAGACTTTCTAGCCTCCACCACTAGCCTCTGGGGCTTCCCAGCGCAGGTCTGTAAAACAGGCCTGCGTAGGACAATGTTATGGGCTCTAGGCCTCCAGCTGGACTTGTGAAAGACATTATTATGAGCTCTAGATTTTCAGCTGGGATCATGCACAATGTCAGGATACAGGCCCTCAACTGGATTCTTTGGTCTTTATTGTGTGGACAAAGTTCCCATACTCTTTATGATTCTTTGGGTGATTCATTATAAAATAATCTTATAAAATATGTCTTGTATTGTATTGTTCCCCTTGCAAGACCCCAAACTACAACACACACCATAAGTATGAATAGAAAATAAGCAATGATTTTGTTGTTAGTCCTCAAAGACATTTAAAATAAGACATAGTGGAATCACATATAAAATACTGAATGTAGCTAATCTGCAGAAGGAATTTAGATTTAGCCTTCTTCATTCTAATCTACTTTTGCCCTCTGCATTAAATGATAAATTAAAAAAACTCCCTCTACTTTTTTTCATTGTTTTAAAAATGAATCTTTAAAATAGTAAACTTCCCTAGGCAACTAATAAAATGGCAAGCCCACTAAACTTGAAATTAGCAGACCTTTAGCTGTATGGAAAAGCAAGAGACCATACATATGAAGTATGCAAGTTCACCCTGGCCAGGCCACTCTAACCCCATTTGGTAAGTGAGAGCAATTGAATCTGAAGAATTCCCTCAGGAACACCCAACACTTACTAGTCCATAAATCATTTTGAATAGGAATTAATTTTAAATTTTCAGTTTTTATGAAGTTTCAAGAAGCTGCTTGATGGGCTGGGGATATAGTTCAGTGGCATAAGCTCCTGCCTGGCAAGCACAAGGTCCTGAGTTTGATCCCTGGTATTGAAAAAAAAAACAAAAACAAAAACAACAACAACAACAACAACAACAACAACAACAACAAAAAAAAAAACCAACTCAGAAAAAAAAAGAAGCTGCTTGAAGTGAGGTACATTTCTACACATCTCTGCATTCACATCTCCCTAATATGCATGCAAATCTTTACACAACAGGGCTCTGGACTTCAAACTGGATTGGGTCCACAGCCATGACTAAGGCATTATGGGGCATCTTTAGGAAACATTTAGGAAAAGAAAGGGAACAACCTGATTTTCATGGCTTGATTGGCATGAAGACCTTTGTTCTGGGCTGTGAGAAGTTCTTTTAAAATTTATTTATATTGGAATCAAAGAGCTAGAAAAAAATGCAGTGGAGGGCAACTTCTTGTCTTTATGACAACCTTATGACCTTATAATAAATCAGAATCCTTTGAGGAAGGAGTTTTGGATGGAAGCTGAATAAAGCACCTTTGTGAGAGAAGACAGTGTTGGGAGAGGGACGAAGTCTGCACTTGATGCAGGACACAGAGCTGCCCGGGCTCAGTGAGTTATGAGTGGAGTGTGTTAGCTTTTAGTCCTGAAACTGCAGATTTGGGCTGCAGCATGCAGATGGGGGTACCTGTCTCACCCAGGCTTGGTGACGTTTGGTTGTGAGCACAAGCAAGGTACCCTTTCAGACTTTGAAAAAAATTATGAAATTTACAGTGTATTGTTTTCCTGTGAAAAACACAAGAGAACAATAAGTTCATCAGCTTTGTGTAACTGCAATCTACAAAAGCCCAAGATGATGGTGTCAGTGTAGTCTGAGTTCAGTTCCTTAACCAAGTACTGCTATCACGCCTATTTGTGGGAGAAAGTCTCTCATCATTGTTTATATCTGCTCTGTGCAAAATGGTAGTGGCCAGCTAATTCTGTCTGTCGAATACTTGGAATGTAGCTGCTCTGAATTAAGATGTACTGTAAGTGTAAAATACACACCAGATTCTGAGGCAGTATAAAAACATAAAATATTAGCAAATTGTCATATGTTATACTTGTTATATTTTGAATATTACAATTAATTTCAGATATTTCCTTTACTTATTTTCATGTGGTTACTAAAAACTTAAAAATTATGCTTGTAGCTGGATTGGACTTCTAATGGACATGGCTGATTGATACTTCACATTTGTGTACCAGATTAAATTCCACTTGTTTAGCTTTTTAATTCATACAAGCAAAAATTTTTTGCTCAATAAAATGGCAAACTTCTTAAGGATGGGTTCTTTGTTTTTACTTTTCATTTTCTC